GCAGCAGGCCTACTGGCCCATGCTAGGCAGAGCCAAGTCGCACCCACATTCCTCAAAGGCCTCAACCTAAGGCTAGATCTTTCCTTCTTTCAACACACCGGCCATATCCCACCAAGGCAGGGTGGCCCAAAAAGAAGAACGAAAGTTTCTCTTTTAAATTTAGTAATTTATATGGAAGAAGGGGTTACTAGCCCCTTGCTCCCGGCATTTTAGTCGCCTCTTACAACATGCATGGCTTACGGAGGAAGATTTCTGTTCCACTTCCCCATGGAGAAAGTTTTCTGATACTAAACAGTAATCTAAGCTCCTGTAAATGACCCAATAATGAATCATGTAAACTGTCTTGTATAAAATAATAAAAATAATTGTAAAAACTTGTTGGCACTTAGCAGCAGTATGCTAAAGTAAGGAAGAGTTGGATGGTCTACAGATAGTATCAGTAGGCTAATTCACCTGTTTACCATCAAATTACCTGTTAATATTTTTAGCCACCTCAAACATTCCTGATATTAAGGGAACATTATCAATATAAAAAGCAAAAGGAAAATTGTAGTACATGGTAGTTATACACAAAAGCACCGTAGGTTTATTTGGTCATGCTACAGTACAAGTGTAGTCTTATTAAACAGTAAAATTAATAAACTTAAAAAATAACATAAAATATTTTTAAAATGCATGAAAAAAATCACAAATCAATATGCAGTCCTAGCTGTAGCCATGTCCACTTGCACGCATCAAGATAGTGAGTAGAAAGAGAGCATGGTCAGTCATGTCGAGTTCACTTATTGTATGACTCATGACCGTGTCCTGCAAATGTTCAATTGCTGCTAAACTGAGTGACATTGACAAACAAAAATACAGTGGACCCCGCCTAATGATATTATTTCAATCCAGAAGTCTGTTTGGGTGCCTTTATAGATCGAATTTGTTCCCATAAGAAATATTGTGAATTAGATTAGTCCGTTTCAGACCCCCAAAAATACACCTACAAAAGCACTTACATAATTGGTCGAGTTGGGAGCTGATCGTTAGGAGGAGGTCCACTGTAATGTCAAGCATTAGAAAGCTGAAGAACAATTCAGCACACAAAGACAGTGGAAATCAAAGACCCCAATGGAAACAAGTCACTTGTCTGACTTTTTTTTTTTTTTAACACGTCGGCCGTCTCCCACCAAGCCAGGATGACAAAAAAAAAAAAAAAAAAAAAAATCACACAATTACTGTCTTTGCATAGGCACACAGATACGACAGTTTAGATGTCACTCCAAACAACCAATATCCCAAACCCCTCCTTTCAAGTGCAGAGACTGTATTTCCCAAGCCTGGCTAACCAGTTTTACTGAATCCCTTCACAAAATATTACACTGCTCACAATACAACAGTTAGTCAAGTTCCAAAAACCATCTCCATTCACTCTTATCTGACATGCTCAAACATGCCTGCTGCATGTCCAAGCCCCTTGCACACAAAACCTCTTTTACCCCTTCTCTCCATCCTTGTCTCTAGGACAACCCCTACTCCCTCCTCCCCTCCACTACAGATTTATACACCCTCCAAGTCATCCTATTTTACTCCATCTTCTCTAAATGACCAAATTACCTCAACAACCCCTCAGCCCTCTGAATAATACTTTTAGTAACTTCACACCTAGTAATTTCAACACTATGAAATATCTGTATAATATTTATACTACACATTGCCCTTAGATGCATCTCCACTGCCTCCAGCCTCCTCCTCGCTGCAGCATTTACAACCCATGCTTCACACTCATATAAGTGTTGGTACCACTTATAGTGGGGGGGGGTTGAAGAGGGTTGGAATAGTTTTAAAAATGCAGTATTAGAATGTGGGGCAGAAGTTTGTGGTTATAGGAGGGTGGGGGCAGGAGGAAAGAGGAGTGATTGGTGGAATGACGAAGTAAAGGGTGTGATAAAAGAGAAAAAGGTAGCTTACGAGAGGTTTTTACAAAGCAGAAGTGTTATAAGAAGAGCAGAGTATATGGAGAGTAAAAGAAAGGTGAAGAGAGTGGTGAGAGAGTGCAAAAGGAGAGCAGATGAAAGAGTGGGAGAGGCACTGTCAAGAAATTTTAATGAAAATAAGAAAAAATTTTGGAGTGAGTTAAACAAGTTAAGAAAGCCTAGGGAAAGTATGGATTTGTCCGTTAAAAACAGAGTAGGGGAGTTAGTAGATGGGGAGAGGGAGGTATTAGGTAGATGGCGAGAATATTTTGAGGAACTTTTAAATGTTGAGGAAGAAAGGGAGGCGGTAATTTCATGCACTGGACAGGGAGGTATACCATCTTTCAGGAGTGAAGAAGAGCAGAATGTAAGTGTGGTGGAGGTACGCGAGGCATTACGTAGAATGAAAGGGGGTAAAGCAGCTGGAACTGATGGGATCATGACAGAAATGTTAAAAGCAGGGGGGGATATAGTGTTGGAGTGGTTGGTACTTTTGTTTAATAAATGTATGAAAGAGGGGAAGGTACCTAGGGATTGGCAGAGAGCATGTATAGTCCCTTTATATAAAGGGAAAGGGGACAAAAGAGATTGTAAAAATTATAGAGGAATAAGTTTACTGAGTATACCAGGAAAAGTATACGGTAGAGTTATAATTGAAAGATTTAGAGGTAAGACAGAATGTAGAATTGCGGATGAGCAAGGAGGCTTCAGAGTGGGTAGGGGATGTGTAGATCAAGTGTTTACATTGAAGCATATATGTGAACAGTATTTAGATAAAGGTAGGGAAGTTTTTATTGCATTTATGGATTTAGAAAAGGCATATGATAGAGTGGATAGAGGAGCAATGTGGCAGATGTTGCAAGTTTATGGAATAGGTGGTAAGTTACTAAATGCTGTAAAGAGCTTTTATGAGGATAGTGAGGCTCAGGTTAGGGTGTGTAGAAGAGAGGGAGACTACTTCCCAGTAAAAGTAGGTCTTAGACAGGGATGTGTGATGTCACCATGGTTGTTTAATATATTTATAGATGGGGTTGTAAAGGAAGTAAATGCTAGGGTGTTCGGGAGAGGGGTGGGATTAAATTATGGGGAATCAAATTCAAAATGGGAATTGACACAGTTACTTTTTGCTGATGATACTGTGCTTATGGGAGATTCTAAAGAAAAATTGCAAAGGTTAGTGGATGAGTTTGAGAATGTGTTGTAAAGGTAGAAAGTTGAAAGTGAACATAGAAAAGAGTAAGGTGATGAGGGTATCAAATGATTTAGATAAAGAAAAATTGGATATCAAATTGGGGAGGAGTAGTATGGAAGAAGTGAATGTTTTCAGATACTTGGGAGTTGACGTGTCGGCGGATGGATTTTTGAAGGATGAGGTTAATCATAGAATTGATGAGGGAAAAAAAGGTGAGTGGTGCGTTGAGGTATATGTGGAGTCAAAAAACGTTATCTATGGAGGCAAAGAAGGGAATGTATGAAAATATAGTAGTACCAACACTCTTATATGGATGTGAAGCTTGGGTGGTAAATGCAGCAGCGAGGAGACGGTTGGAGGCAGTGGAGATGTCCTGTCTAGGGCAATGTGTGGTGTAAATATTATGCAGAAAATTCGGAGTGTGGAAATTAGGAGAAGGTGTGGAGTTAATAAAAGCATTAGTCAGAGGGCAGAGAGGGGTTGTTGAGGTGGTTTGGTCATTTAGAGAGAATGGATCAAAGTAGAATGACATGGAAAGCATATAAATCTATAGGGGAAGGAAAGAGGGGTAGGGGTCGTCCTCGAAAGGGTTGGAAAGAGGGGGTAAAGGAGGCTTTGTGGGCGAGGGGCTTGGACTTCCAGCAAGCGTGCATGAGCGTGTTAGATAGGAGTGAATGGAGACGAATGATACTTGGGACCTGACGATCTGTTGGAGTGTGAGCAGGGTAATATTTAGTGAAGGGATTCAGGGAAACCGGTTATTTTCTTATAGTTGGACTTGAGTCCTGGAAAGGGGAAGTACAATGCCTGCACTTTAAAGGAGGGGTTTGGGATATTGGCAGTTTGGAGGGATATGTTGTGTATCTTTATACGTATATGCTTCTAAACTGTTGTATTCTGAGCACCTCTGCAAAAGCAGTGATAATGTGTGAGTGTGGTGAAAGTGTTGAATGATGATGAAAGTATTTTCTTTTTGGGGATTTTCTTTCTTTTTTTTGGGTCACCCTGCCTCGGTGGGAGACGACCAATTTGTTGAAAGAAAAAAAAAAAAACCACTACAATCTCATACATTCCCTTCTTTGCCTCCATGGACAATATTCTTTGTCCCCTCAGATACCTCAATGCACCACCCATCCTTTTTCCTTCATCATTTCTATGGTTTACCCATCCCTCATAAACCCATCTGCTGATAAATCCACTCCCAAATATCTGAACCCACTCACTTCTTCCACATTCCTTCCCTCCAATGTGCTATCCAGTTTTTCTTTACCTAACTACTGTCCTGCCAAATGAGTGTAAGACAGAAACCTGTGTTTTACACAATGACACGAGTGCTAGTGCCTTTTTTTCTGTCTCGTAAACACACAAGATAACAGGTATATCTTGCTACTTTTACTTACACTTGCATCACACTACACATGCATGTAGACAGTCCAGGAGCTTTTTGAGCACCTCATACTAACATGGCAGTCTTCCAAGTTTATTTTGTATGTACCAGTACTCAAATTTATTTCCATATATCAATGAGCAAGGTAATATTTATGGAGGGATTTGGGAATACTAATTAGCCAGACTTGAGTCATGGAGGTGGGAAGTACAGTACCTGCACTCTGAAGGAAGGATGGGAATATTGAATTGTGATGTTCACACACGAAAAGACAACTATTGAGTGCACAATGGTGAATAAGTTTCCTTTTCTATGATTATTTTACCTTGGTGAGAGACAGCAGGTGATTTAAAAAAAAAAAAAAGTGACTGATCAAAGCACAAAGAAATAGTGTATCAAGGTCAATGCTCTCACCATACTAGAGCAGTGCTTATATGATTATTATAAATGAAGTTATACACACCTGTCATGACGTATGAACTCAACTACATGTCCACTATGACAAGTTTTGATGCAGTTTACACATATAGCATTACGTTCAGTGGTATTACACGTTCGGCACCGGTAGAAGTCGTGCATGGGAAAACTGGTGTACGATGATATCTTGTAAAGACACTGGCCACTTGATACAGCCTTTTCCACTGCATCATGGTTATTAAAAATCTTATTGCCTGAAAGACAAAATTTGGACATAAAGAGAGGTCTAATGAATTCCATCAACATACGCATGCTGAAGGTATTTACTGCAGCACTTTCTTATTATATTATTTTAGTACTGTATAAATGTATAAAAGCTTGGGTGGTAAATGCAGCAGCGAGGAGACGGTTGGAGGCAGCGGAGATGTCCTGTTTAAGGGCAATGTGTGGTGTAAATATTATGCAGAAAATTCGGAGTGTGGAAATTAGGAGAAGGTGTGGAGTTAATAAAAGTATTAGTCAGAGGGCAGAAGAGGGGTTGTTGAGGTGGTTTGGTCATTTAGAGAGAATGGATCACAGTAGAATGACATGGAAAGCATATAAATCTATAGGGGAAGGAAGGCGGGGTAGGGGTCGTCCTCGAAAGGGTTGGAGAGGAGGGGGTAAAGGAGGTTTTGTGGGTAAGGGGCTTGGACTTCCAGCAAGCGTGCGTGAGCGTGTTTAGATAGGAGTGAATGGAGACGAATGGTACTTGGGACCTGACGATCTGTTTGGAGTGTGAGCAGGGTAATATTTAGTGAAGGGATTCAGGGAAACCGGTTATTTTCATATAGTCGGACTTGAGTCCTGAAATGGGAAGTACAATGCCTGCACTTTAAAGGAGGGGTTTGGGATATTGGCAGTTTGGAGGGATATGTTGTGTATCTTTATATGTTTATGCTTCTAGACTGTTAGTATTCTGAGCACCTCTGCAAAAACAGTGATAATGTGCGAGTGTGGTGAAAGTGTTGAATGATGATGAAAGTATTTTCTTTTTGGGGATTTTCTTTCTTTTTTGGGTCACCCTGCCTCGGTGGGAGACGGCCGACTTGTTGAAAAAAAAAAAAAAAAAAAAAAATAAATGTATAATTAAGAAATTCAGTAGTACTGTAGAAGTAAAAATAATAAAATAGTGGATTCAGTCACAAAATTACTATTAAGCCTTTCAAGGTTGGAACCCCTGATCTGAAACTTGCTTTCAGGGTTGGAGAATTTACATATACATATATATATATACATATAGGTTTTTCTTTCTTTTTGGGTCACCTTGCCTCAGTGGGAAATGGCTGATGTGTAAAAAAAAAAAAAAAAAAAAAAAAAAAAAAAAAAAAAAAAAAAAAAAAAAAAAACAACTTTTCCTGAAGGCAATGAAACCAAACATGAAATTTGATGGAAACCTTATGGAATTATGCTCTTGCAAAGTTAGTTGTCTCGGAAATATTTATGCATAGGTGATTTTGCTCACTTTGAGCCCTGTTTTTGACCAATTCCATTGTTCCAGTCAACCAAATTCATAGCCATTTCACTAATACCCTTTCTATTCAAACAACTGAGTACAAGAAACTGCCCATTAATTATTTCCACTACCCAATGATGTGATCAGAAACTGGTAATTTGTCCAATTTCACACAAAATTAAAAAATCCCTAATTTAAAAAGAGGGTCCAGAATAAACAGACATATTCCTGCCACTAAAAAAACATTTCCTATGTTCATTAGTTACTTCCTCAGGCCTCTCTTATATTACGCTTACTTTCCATTTTGAATTTTTATTTACACAAAAAATAAAAGATTTACTGTTATGCAAACTACTGCATTATTGTAATAATTGGATAAATAATGTCAACGCGTTTGTGAACATGCATTAGACTGACCAGCTGGATGAACATTGGATGAGTGACAATTTGTGCACTCTGCAATATTGACAAAAATCGGACATTTCCACTACTTTGAGCTTAATTTCAAGCTACTTTCAGTCCTGAAACCAATTCAGAATCAATCATCTCTATTTCTGCAGTACATCTTTCATTCTATCAAAGACGACCAAGAAACCGAGAATGCAACCTAAAAAACATACGAAAATAAACTACAAAATTACAGTTTTAAATAAAACAACACGGTCACAGTTTTTTCCTCATTATGCACTGTGTGCTGCAGGATATTTTTAACATGGTACACATTTACAGCGTAGAACAACAGGACCGACCAGCATTTCTAAGCTGTAGTACAACGGGACCCACCCTGAAAGGGTTAATGTAGTATCCCCAAGTTTCGTGTACACCCAACTGTGGACTGGGGCCATGTGGCATGATACTGAGATAAAGGTACAGGGGAGGAAGAGCAACAGTGGCAAAACTGAAAGAAAAAAATGTATACATATACAGTAGTTTCTCATAGCATGCCTTAGTAGTGCATTTTTAAGAGAATGCTATTCATTTTTTTTTCAATAAATATGTGATTCTGACTGAATGTATGCACTGTAAAATTTAAAGAAAAGGTGGCTTGGGCACGAAAAAGTTTGTTCAGAGATTTCTATGGCACGCAGAAGGTCAGTTGCTGACATTAGCTCAATATGGAGTATGCTACAGTGGACCTATAAACCTCAATCCATGACTCACAGGCATCAGCTGTGGGTCATGTGCAAAATAAAATAGAAAAAATGCAAAGACTAACCTCTTTGGATAGGATTCACTCCTGATGCTAAACACAGTCCTCCAAAACGATTATTAAATATTTGGTTGTACTCTAAAGTAGCTGTGGCATTATTTGTTATTTCGATTCCTGCTGCCAACCCATCGTATATCTGGTTCCTTCTTAGACTAGGGTGGCTTTGAGTTGGATGACTTTGTGTAGATATTAAGACGCCAGCCTGTGCATTACGAAAAATGTCGTTTTCTTCTAGCAAACCTGGAGACGAAAAAGTGAACCTTTTACATGCAAAAAGATTATAAAAAAATATATTCAAGCAATGAAAGTTTCATACCATACAGAAATATGATACATATTCTTAGCTTACCTTTTCCACCATTAAATATACAGATTCCAGCTTCTCTTCCGTCATATATTTTGTTTCGTCGTAGAATAGGATTACTATCAGTCTTGATCCACACACCAGCCATGGCATTGTCAAATATCTCATTTTGTTCAAGTACCCCCAATCCCCCATTATATACTAAGACACCACCATTCTGCCCACCCCATATCTTATTTCGACGGATTATTGGATTGCTTCCAGTCCTGGAATGAAAAACATTTAGTTATAGAATGAAGAAAGATCTATAACATGCATTTAATCATATTTGTCCACAAATATCTAGACAAATCATGGAGAAATGCCTTCATTACTAGCTTGGCATGTGGCAAACACCTCACACCCAAGAATGCATTGACTGAAATACTTGGCCCTTGCACCAAGTGTACAGCTATGCCTTTTTAAGAACCTAGAAAAAAAAAAAAGGAAAATTCCATATACAGTAGAACCCCAGTTTTCGTTTTTAATCCGTTCCAGAAGGTCGGCTGAAATCTGAAATGGACGAAAACCAAAGTAATATTTCCCACGAGATGTAAAGTAGGGCCCCACTTATACGGCGGGTTAGGTTCCAGGCTGTCGCCGGAAAGCAGACATCGCCGAAAGGCAGAACTCCATTTTTTCCATTTATAAATGCATATAAATGCCAGACAACAAGTTTACACTAAATTATATTAAGTTAGTAATAGAACTAGGCATTAAAAACACACAAAGTAAAATACAGTCACAGTAAATTCGTTACTTATCTTAAAGTGTTTGTAATCTTAATGTAGGGAGAGAGGTGAGTAGTACTTATTTGTAGGAAGTCAGGTGCAGGTAGCCCAGGTGTAGGTAGCACTGGCTCCCAGTCTCATACTTAATATACGATATTTAAAACATCCCAGAGAGGTAAAATGCACATACAGTACACTCATTATTTACCTTAAAATATGTGTAGTCTTAATATAGGAAGAGAGGTGAGTAGTATTTATTTGTTTAAAGTCAGTGTAGGTAGCTGGTAGGTGTAGCCTGGGCTACACCTACCAGCTACCTACACTGTGGCCCAGAGCCATATTATTAACATCAACATGCCTTGTTCACTGAATTTAATCATTTCTAACAACTACCTTAAGATGCCATCATAAACGAAGGTAGAAGTAATGGATAATTCATGCCGAAAATTGTAAACAAAAGCGGAGTGGGGGAGTGGCTGGGCCAAACGCAGATTCATACACGTTTTCTCCAATGGCTGAACAGAGAAAACGTAATATTGTCCTTCCACCCGGCTCCACAAGTATTATTATCAGAGGATATAAAATATGCAATAAATGCCAGACAACAAGTTTACACTAACTTATATTAAGTTAGCAATAGAAATAGACATTAAAAACACAATAAAAGGTAAGATACACATAGAGTACACTTATTACTTACCTTAAAATATTAATATTAATGTGTGAGAGGTGAGTGGCAGGGTGTTTATTGAATAAAATCAGAATGGCACCCCATCATCCTCTAACTTGACACTTAAAGCAAGAGGCTTATGACTTCTCTTTTTATTACAGCTAACCTTAGATGCCATCGTCAATGAAAGCCAACTAGTTAACGAAAGAGTAAACGAGAGAGAGAACGAGATACAGAGTTGAGACAATGTAAGAACAGAAACTGAACAGGTAGTGGACAATCACTTGGTCAGGCGAAATAAATGCGTATTAATGTGTGTCTACTTTTAGTTCATTCACGTCCATTTGTAAGAGTTTGTAAAACATTTACCTTAATATTTTTTTATTTTAATAATAATTACCTCACAATACAAATACTCTTACATTGTGTACAAGTTAGTTCAGAATAAACAAACAGCAACACACCATTTTTAGAGTGAATGAAGATAATAAAAATAATAATAATAATAAAAAATAATATAATTATAATAATTATTATTAGTATTAATAATAATAATTATATTATTATTAATAATAATATTATTATTAATAATAATATTATTATTATTTATTATAAAAAGAAACTAAACCCACAAGGGTCGTGAATTGCTATACTAGGAGTAAAGGCATACGAAAAGAATATTTTTCTACAGTTACCCCCCAGTGTTTGACTAGAGAAAAGTAATTTTTTTCCGACACTACCTACACAGCTGCTTTGTAAACAAATCTCATATTTACATAAATTTTTATTGAGTGTATGTATCATGTTTATATGCTATGTAATGGGTTTCATATGTAATTTTGAGGAAAATATCATAGATGAATTAATGAAAATGCCTATATTGATGTAAAATAAGACATTTAGTGTGCCCAAGAGTGATTATTATTACGTAGTATTGGCATCATGAGTAGAGAGAGACTAAGCGATTTTAATGTGTACCTGCACACCAGCAGTGTGTAAGTACATTTAGGTACAGGTACACATAAGTATAATTATCAGAGTACATAAAAGGTTATGAGGATAACAAAAAGATTAGGTGATGAAAGATTGAATATCAGATTGGAGGGAGAGAGTATGGAGGAGGTGAACGTATTCAGATATTTGGGAGTGGACGTGTCAGCGGATGGGTCTATGAAAGATGAGGTGAATCATAGAATTGATGAGGGAAAAAGAGTGAGTGGTGCACTTAGGAGTCTGTGGAGACAGAGAACTTTGTCCTTGGAGGCAAAGAGGGGAATGTATGAGAGTATAGTTTTACCAACGCTCTTATATGGGTGTTTAAGCATGGGTGATGAATTGTTGCAGCGAGGAGAAGGCTGGAGGCAGTGGAGATGTCATGTCTGAGGGCAATGTGTGGTGTGAATAAATGCAGAGAATTCGTAGTTTGGGAAATTAGGAGGAGGTGCGGGATTACCAAAACTTTTTGTCCGAGGGCTGAGGAAGGGTTGTTGAGGGGTGGTTCAGACATGTAGAGAGAATGGAGCGAAACAGAATAACTTCAAGAGTGTATCAGTCTTTTAGTGGAAGGAAGGCGGGGTAGGGGTCGGCCTAGGAAGGGTTTGGGGGGAGGGGGTAAAGGAGGTTTTGTGTGCGAGGGGCTTGGACTTCCAGCAGGCATGCGTGAGCGTGTTTGATAGGAGTGAATGGAGACAAATGGTTTTTTTAATACTTGACGTACTGTTGGAGTGTGAGCAAAGTAACATTTATGAAGGGATTCAGGGAAACCGGCAGGCCGGACTTGAGTCCTGGAGATGGGAAGTACAGTGCCTGCACTCTGAAGGAGGGGTGTTAATGTTGCAGTTTAAAAACTGTAGTGTAAAGCACCCTTCTGGCAAGACAGTGATGGAGTGAATGATGGTGAAAGTTTTTCTTTTTCGGGCCACCCTGCCTTGGTGGGAATCGGCCAGTGTGATAATAAAAAAAAAAAAAAACACATAAAATATGCAGTAACTTTAAAGCACTTGAAATTTTGGAAAGTTTCCTGACATAATAGATGTGGTCACGGAAAATGTAAACAAACCGGGTGGGGGGCGCCATATTTAACCCTTAAACGGTCCAAACATATATATACGTTCATGCGCGTAGCGCCCCATACGTATATATACGTTTTCTTTGTCATTCATTCAACATTGCCACAATAAGCCTGAGTCACCTAGACATGAGAGAATGGGTGTGCGCACTCACTGTGTGCCATATTAAAATAATTGGGGATGCCTGAGTACCATATGCTCTTTTTTCCTTTTAACCCTTTGACTGTCGCAACCCCCAATCCTGAGGTGTCTCCTGGTGTCGCAAAATTTAAAAAAAAAAATTATTTTTCTTATGAAATGATAGAGAATCTTTTCCCGATTGTAATGACACCAAAAAAAAAAAAACGAAATTTGATGGCAAACTGATGGAATTATGCTTTCGCAAAGTTAGCGACCTCGGCGCTGTTCACAAATCGGCGATTTCACCCACTTTGAGCCCTATTTCCGGCTAATTCCATTGTTCCAGTCGCCCAAACTCATAGCTATTTCTTTAGAACTCCATTTTTTCTATCGATTGAGTACAAGAAACTGGCCATTTACCGATTTCAACTACCTAATAATGTGGTCAAAAATTTGCAATTTGGCCAATTTCACGCAAACTAAAAAAATATGACAATTTCAAAATAAGGTCCAGAATGAACAATGCAGACATTCCTGGCTCTAAAATAACATTTTCTTTGCTCATCAGTCATGTCTCCAGGCCCCTCTTGCTTTCTATTTTGAATTTTTATTCAAACAAAAAATAGAAGACTTACTATTATGCAGACTACTGCAATACTGTAATAATTGTATAAATAACATCAACCCATTCATGACTGCATATTAGAATGGCTAGTTGGACATTTATTGGACAATGGCATCATTTGTTTACTTTTGAACATTGGCAAAAATCAAACATTTCCCCTACTTTGAGCTCCATTTCTAGGTTCTTTTTATAGTAAAATCAATCAAAATCACCTCTATTTCTATAATACGTTTTCCATTCTATCAAATGAGACCAAGAAAACGAGAATACAACCATAAATAATATACGAAAATAGACCACAAAGTCGGCATTTTAATTAAAAAAAAAAAAACGGTTGGAGTTTTTTTTTCTCGTTATGCACTGCGTGCTCCAGGATTTTTTTTATATGGTGCACACTGACCACACAGACCCATTCTCTCACATGTGGGCCTACCAGCTTTCTCCTGCTTGATTTGAAGCCGCTAGAATTTATGAGTATATATACGTCAAACATGGTACCTCGTAAGACGTATATATACGGCCGCGACAGTCAAAGGGTTAAAAGAAAAGTTTTTTTTTTTCCTCAAAAAATTTGGGGCGCTACGTGAGTGAACGTATATATACGTTTGGACCGTTTAAGGGTTAAAAGACCGCTTGTCGTATAGCAAATTTTGGTCATAATTTGACATTGCCGTATTAGCGGAACGCCGTAAGGTGAAACGCTGTAAAGCGGGGCCTTACTGTATAGTGAAAATCAAATTAATCCGTTCCAGACACCGAAAAATATTAACAAAAAATAATTTTATTGAGAATATAGTTTTACATACAGAAAACAATGAGAAATAAATATAAATGACTAATTCTAATGGATAAATGAACATTTAAATTACTGTTGCATACTTTTCTTGAAGACTCTTGTTGGCCACTCACATCCAACCCCATGAACTTTCCCAAAGCCACAATAGATTCCATAACAGGCATAGGGTTAAGTTTACACTAACTTATATTAAGTTAGTAATAGAACTAGGCATTAAAAAACACAAAAAGTAAAATACATACACAGTACATTCATTACTTGCCTTAAAATATTTGAAGTCTTAATGTAGGGCAAGAGGTGAGTAGTAGTTAGGTAGTAGGTAGTGTACGTAACTGGTAGAAGTAGGTATGTAGTTCGCCTGGCTACCCCAAAACCATATTATTACCATCAACATACCATGATCACTGAGTTTAATTGTTTCTAAGAACTACCTTTAGATGCCATCATAAACAAAGGGAGAAGTAATGAATAATTCATGCTGAGAATTGTCAACAAAAGCATTATGGAATAAAGGGGATGAGTGGGCCAATGCAGATTCATACACGTTTTCTCTGGTGCTGGACCAGAGAAAACATAATGTTTTCCCTCCACCTGGCTACCACCAATACAGAGCATATAAACACTGCATGTTTATATGCTATGTAATGTGTTTCTTACATAATTTTGAAGAAGATATCATATATGGATTAATGAAAATGTCTATACTGTATTAACATAAAATAAGACATTTAATGTGCCCAAGAGTGATTATTATTACGTATTAGTATTATTACTAAGGCATTAAGACTAGAGGGACACTTAGTGAACCTAAGATAACCCAAAAAAGTTAGAGCGACTTATTTCCATGAGCGGCCATGTCCCGCGGCAGGCGGACACGTCTGGTACGGACGATTTCCAAGCGGATGCATGAAACCAAGGGTAAAAATTCGCCAAAAGTGGTCGAAATCCGAATTGTACAATATTCGAACTGGACGAAAACCAGGGTTCCACTGTACATCAGGAATATAGTAGCTATCTGTAACTGACTGAAGACAGACAAGGAAGAACAGATCAAAACATTCATGCACACGTATTCTGGTATACTGTACTAGACTCCAAACTTTTTTTTTATGAAAAAACAAATTACTCTCATCCTCCCTCTCCCAGATTGCCAAGATTTTCTACCACTAATTTATGTTCAATAAGTAATGCAAGCATAATATTAAATTAATTAAAATACCACTGAACAAAATATTGTGCTGTAAAATCAAATAAAAGTACCGAAGACAAAAGTTACTCGAGACAGAAAACTAATTCAAAGCATTTAAGAATATTAAGGAGTCTGCACACCTTAAAACACTACTGGTATCTAGTCAAAATTTACTTTAAATTCCATGTTTAAAAATGCCTAATCTTCTAAAACATTCAACTCTGGTACTTAGTGATATCTGGTAATTTTCCTCAAATTTCTCAAAAAATAATAAAACCCAACTAATCTTTGTCAAACATACCAAAATATGTATCACTGTACACATGGTTTCACATTAATGGTAATTATTTCTGATTTTTCCGTTCACAAGCGGAAAGACTGATTGAAGAGGAAATAATAAATTTTTTTTTTTTTTTAAATATTAACCACTTCCCAGAAAGATAGGGTGCTTCCTCCTTTAAGCCAAGAAATATTTTAAAGTAGTGAGTGTACTTTATGTGCATTTTACTTAATTTGTTATGCCTAGTTCTACTGCTAATTTAATATATGATACTGTGAACATTTTATCAGGCATTTCAATGTATTTGAAAGTGAAAAAAAAGGGCAATTCACTTTACAGCGGTAACCTAGAACCTAACTTGCTGTATAAGTGGGGCTCTCCTGTACAGGCATTTGGCATACACCCTGTTTCAAAGACACATGCATACATTCAATCTCTATTTTTTTGTGCTTACATCACAATTAGATTACTCTCTGAATGCAATATCCCTACTCGTCCTTCAGTGTAGGCACAGCCCTTCCCACCTCCAGTACTCAGGTGCAGCTAACCAGTTTCCCTGAATCCCTCAATAAAAGTTTCACTACTCACACTCCAACAGTACATTCATTAATAACCACTTGTCTCCGTTCACTCTCAAAGAACACGCCAACACAAGCCTCAAAGATACTCAAACACACAAAACTCAACGCTTCTTTTACCTCCTCCCTCCAACTGCTCCTGGGATAACCTCTTCCCCACTTCTAACATACTGAACTTTTCTTGCATTTTGGTATTACGTTCCTTCCACTATCAGTTTAAGTTAACAAGCCCTCCTTTCCCCCCTCTGCAATCTTTTCTCAAAGCTAATAACTGCCAGCTAGTTAACTTTTATGGTAAACCAGTGTGCATTAAATAAACTGCAACTCACTAGGAAACTGGAATACTACTAAGGGATAGATTTCCTAAATTATTGATAACTTACCTAATTTGTACACCTGAGTATAAGTGGTTGAAGATATCATTATCTTCTAGCACTCCATGGCCATTGTCATAAAAGTAAACGCCCACTTGCTTTCCAGAATGTATACGGTTCCTTCTTAATGTTGGCGTGCTTCCTGCAGAGAAAACCAAAGTAAAATCAAGTTTATTAAAAGAGTTTTCATTGGGTGTAACCACTAAAATTTTGACTAAAATCTAACACAAGCTAGCCAAAATCTTAGAAACATTGTTCTGACCCCATCAGACGTGTAACAAAAGGCATCCCAAAAAAAGATATACAGCTTCTCCTCACTTAACAACGGAGTTCTGTTCCTGAGACCACGTTGTTGAACGAATTCATCGCTAAATGAAGAGTGTACTATAATGGTAGTGAGTTTGTGTATAGTCCCTTTATATAAAGGGAAGGGGGACAAGAGAGATTGTAAAAATTACAGAGGAATAAGTTTACTGAGTATACCAGGAAAAGTGTACGGTAGGGTTAGAATTGAAAGAATTAGAGGTAAGACAGAATGTAGGTTTGCGGATGAGCAAGGAGGTTTTAGAGTAGGTAGGGGATGTGTAGATCAAGTGTTTACATTGAAGCATATATGTGAACAGTATTTAGATAAAGGTAGGGAAGTTTTTATTGCATTTATGGATTTAGAAAAGGCATATGATAGAGTGGATAGGGGAGCAATGTGGCAGATGTTGCAAGTACAGTGGACCCTCGCCTAATGATATTAATCCGTTCCTGAGACCTCAACGTTAGGCGATATTATCGTTAGCCGAATTAATTTTCCCATAAGAAATAATGGAAATCAAATTAATCCGTTCCTGACACCCCAAAGTATGAAAAAATTTTTTTTTTACCACATTAAATATTAATTTTAATACACACAAACTGAAGAAGACATGCACAGTTACATGACACTTGCCTTTATTGAAGATCTGGTGATGACTGATGGGATGGGAGGAGGGGAGACTGTGGATGGTGTTAATGTTTAGAAGGGGAATCCCCTTCCATTAGGACTTGAGGTGGCAAGTCCTTTTCCGGGGTTACTTCCCTTCTTTTAATGCCACTAGGACCAGCTCGAGAGTCACTGGACCTCTGTCACACAACATATCTGTCCATAGAGGCCTGTACCTCCCGTTCCTTTATGATATTCCTAAAGTGTTTCACAACATTGTCAGTGTAATAGTCACCAACACGACTTGCAATAGCTGTGTGAGGGTGATTTTCATCAAAAAAGGTTTGCATTTAAGCCACATTGCACACATTTCCCTAATCTTTGAAGTAGGCAACTTCCTCAATTTCTCTATCCCCCTCCTCCGGAGCAGCTTCCTCAGGTCTGGCCTCTTGCTGTTGATGATGATCCAGCAGCTCATCAGTGGTTAGTTCATCATTGTCCTCCTCCACCAATTCTTCCACATCCTCCCCAGTAACCTCCAACCCCAAGGACTTCCCCAATGCCACAATTGATTCCACAACTGGCATAAGATTCTCAGGGTTAGCCTCAAATCCTTCAAAATCCCTTTTGTCTACACATTCTGGCCACAGTTTCTTCCAAGCAGAGTTCAAGGTCCTCTTAGTCACTTCCTCCCAAGCCTTACCTACAATGTTTACACAATTGAGGATGCTAAAGTGATCTCTCCAAAACTCTCTTAGAGTCAATTGAGTTTCTGAGGTCACTACAAAGCACCTTTCAAACATAGCTTTTGTGTACAGTTTCTTGAAGTTGGAAATGGCCTGCTGGTCCATGGGCTGCAGGAGAGGAGTGGTATTACGAGGCAAAAACTTGACCTTAATGAAGCTCCTTTCTGCAGAAAGTCACTCTGCCACGTCTGAAGGATGACCAGGAGCATTGTCTAATACCAGGAGGCACTTAAGGTCCAATTTCTGGTTTGAGAGATTTGAGAATCGTAGTGGCATTCATAGTGTGATAAGGCATGGTGAGGCTGCCAGTTCGGACCACAAAACGGCTGAAAAATATGTGCAGGAATTCAAGGAGTACATAGACAGTGAAGGACTGAAACCTGAACAAGTGTTTAATTGTGACGAAACAGGCCTGTTTTGGAAGAAAATGCCAAGAAGGACCTACATTACTCAGGAGGAAAAGGCACTCCCAGGACATAAGCCTATGAAAGACAGTCTTACTCTGTTGATGTGTGCTAATGCTAGTGGTGATTGCAAAGTGAAGCCTTTATTGGTGTATCACTTTGAAACTGCCAGAGTGTTCAGGAAAAACAATGTCCTCAAGGCTAATTTGTGTGTGCTGTGGAGGGCAAACAGTAAGGCATGGGTCACTAGGGACTTTTTCTATGACTGGTTACACAATGCATTTGCCCCCACTGTGAAAAATTACCTAATTGAAAAGAAATTGGACCTTAAGTGCCTCCTGGTATTAGACAATGCTCCTGGTCATCCTTCAGAAGTGGCAGAATGACTTTCTGTGGAAATGAGCTTCATTAACCCTTTCAGGGTCCAAGGCCCAAATCTGAAGTGGTGCCCCAGTGTCCAAGAATTTTCAAAATAAAAATTTGTTATTTTTTCTTATGAAATCGTAGAGAATCTTTTTGTGAAGGTAATAAAACAAAAAGTACGAAATTTGGTGGAAAATTGACGAAATTATGCTCTCGTGAATTTTGATGTGTCAGCGATATTTACGAATCGGCGATTTTGCCGACTTTGACTCCCATTTTAGGCCAATTACATTATTCCAATCAACCAAATTCTTAGCTATTTCACTAGTATTACTTCTATTCTATCGATTGAGCACAAGAAATCGCCAAGTCAACTGTTTCAACTACAAAATAAAGTGATCGGAAATTGTTAATTTGGCCAATTTAACACAAAGTTCAAAATATTCCAATTTCAAAATAGGCTCCAGAATAAACAATGTAGGTATTCCTGGAACTAAACTAACATTTCCTCTGTTCATTAGTTACATTTTAAGGCTTTACAAATAAATTCCATTTTGATTTTTATTCACATAATGAATTTTTATTCACACCAAAAAATAGAAGATTTACTGTTATGCAATACTGTAATAATTGTATAAATATCATCACCATATTTGTGAATGTATATTAGACCCACCAGCTGACGTGTATTAGATGTGTGAGGTCGTTTGTTTACTCTTGAATATCGGCAAAAATTTAACATTTCCGCTACTTTGAGCTCAGTTTCAAGCCATTTCCAGTGCTAAAACCAATCAAAATCATCTCTATTTCTGTAATATGTCTTCCATTCTATCAAATGAGACCAAGAAATCGCAAATACAACTATAAAAAACATATGAAAAAACACTGCAAAGTCGCTGTTTTAATCGAAAAATCATGATTTCAGTTTTTTCTCTCATTATACACAGTGTGCTGCAGGATCTGTTTTATGTGGTGCACACATACCACATAGATGTATTCTCTCATATCTAGGCCCAAATGTACCACTCACAGTTTATCAGAGTGAGCTGAGCTCATGACGTAGATCTACGGTTTGGAGCCTGAACGTAAAGCCGTAGATCTACGGGACGGACCCTGAAAGGGTTAAGGTCAAGTTTTTGCCTCCTAATACCACTCCTCTCCTGCAGCCCATGGATCAGCAGGTCATTTCCAACTTCAAGAAACTGTACACAAAAGCTATGTTTTGAAAGGTGCTTTGTAGTGACCTCAGAAACTCAATTGACTCCAAGAGAGTTTTGGAGAGATCACTTTAGCATCCTCAATTGTGTAAACATTATAGGTAAGGCTTGGGAGGAAGTGACTAAGAGGACCTTGAACTCTGCTTGGAAGAAACTGTGGCCAGAATGTGTAGACAAAAGGGATTTTGAAGGGTTTGAGGCTAACCCTGGGAATCCTATGCCAGTTGAGGAATCCATTGTGGCATTGGGGAAGTCCTTGGGGTTGGAGGTTAGTAGGGAGGATGTGGAAGAGTTGGTGGAGGACAATGAAGAACTAACCACTGATGAGCTGCTAGATCATCTTCAACAGCAAGAGGCCACACCTGAGGAAACTGCTTCGGAGGAGGAGGGGATAGAGAAATTGAAGAAGTTGCCTACTTCAAAGATTAATGAAATGTGTGCAATGTGGCTTAAAGTGCAAACCTTTTTTGATGAAAATCACCCTCACACAGCTATTGCAAGCTGGTGACACTGACAATGTTGTGAAACACTTTAGGAATGTCATAAAGGAACGAGAGGTACAGGCCTCTATGGACAGATATGTTGTGCGACAGAGGTCCAGTGACTCTCAAGCTGGTCCTAGTGGCATTAAAAGAAGAATTAAAGTAACCCCGGAAAAGGACTTGCCACCTCAAGTCCTAATGGAAGGTGATTCTCCTTCTAAACATTAACACCATCCAGTCTCCCCTCCTCCCATCCCATCAATCATCACCAGATCTTCAATAAAGGTAAGTGTCATGTAACTGTGCATGTCTTCTTCAGTTTGTGTGTATTAAAATTAATATTTCATGTGGTAAAAATTTTTTTTTGTTCATACTTTGGGGTGTCAGGAACGGATTAATTTGATTTCCATTATTTCTTATGGGGAAAATTAATTCGGCTAACGATAATTTCGCCTAACGTTGAGCTCTCACGAACGGATTAATAGTGTTAGGCAAGGGTCCACTGTATAATTAAATAAATTATCATTTCCCTTGCATTTTCAATAATAAAAATAGTATAAGGAAGGGTGGGTGGGTGGGATGCAAATGGATTGTTAGCCCTTAACTTAAACAACAAACTCTCACACACACCCTAAAACAAACAATGAATGTACCAACTAAACTGATGCACAAATACATATGAAGTAGGTACAGTATACACATTAAATCCAGGTTCCTTTCACCTTTCAACCTTTATTATGCAAAGGAAGATAAGCAGAGGGTATATAAACAGTAGGAAGGTCCCTCACATAGGTGTAGTTTGCATCTGCCCTCTCAATATGTATATAAACACTGTCTCCAGCAAGCCCACATTTGAGCACAGTAAGTTTCTTTCGGCACAGGTACACATAAGTACAATTATCATACATAGTGTAAATTACCTAGGATAACCCATAAAAGTTAAAGTGACTTGTTGATATAATACACTGCATTGTATTGACTGGTATGCAGGAATCAACTAATTCAATCACAAACACAGGTCTGAGAGCTATACTGGACACATGTACGGACCAATGCGAGGTGGGATGGGGGAGGCAGGGGAAGCTAGGTCTCCCCCACAAAGACAATGGACTGACCCACAGGCAGGCTGCCCAAGAGTCCACCAGATGGAGAGAAAAAATCCTGCAGTCCAGCTCATGGCACTCCATATTTTTTTCCCACAGAAGTGACACTATGTTAATTGGAAATCTGCTGTAGTTTTGCAATTGTTTAACAGAGAAAAACATGGTAAAAAAAAACACGTTAATCAAAAGTCTACTGTACAATAGATATCATTCATTCAAAAGCTGTCTTTCCAGATGTGTACAAACATCACAATTCAAATGACCCTCCTAACTGCAACATATCTACCCCCCCTACTATTAGTGTACTGTACTTTCCACCTTCAGGATTAGTCCAACTAATTGGTTTCCCCTGAATCTCTTCATGTTACTTTGTTCACACTACATTATGTCAGACCCCTTAAAACCACTTTTCTCCACTCTGATCTAGCACATGCTTGTTGGATGCTCAAGCTCCTGCCACTGTACATCTTTCACATTCTCCATCCTACCATTCCTGGGATGACCTTTACCACTTCTTCCACACTAGATATATACACACACACTTTTTTTTTTTTTTTTTCAACAAGTCGGTCGTCTCCCACCGAGGCAGGGTGACCCAAAAGAGAAAGAAAATCCCCAAAAAGAAAATACTTTCATCATCATTCAACACTTTCACCACACTCACACATTATCACTGCCTTTGCAGAGGTGCCCAGAATACAACAGTTTAGAAGCATATACGTATAAAGATAAACAACATATCCCTCCAAACTGCCAGTATCCCAAACCACTCCTTTAAAGTGCAGGCATTGTACTTCCCATTTCCAGGACTCAAGTCCGACCGGTTTCCCTGAATCCCTTCACTAAACATTACCCTGCTCACACTCCAACAGATCGTCAGGTCCCAAGTATCATTCGTCTCCATTCACTCCTATCTAACACGCTCATGCACGCTTGCTGGAAGTCCAAGCCCCTCGCCCACAAAACCTCCTTTACCCCCTCTTTCCAACCCTTTCGAGGACGACCCCTACCCCTCTTTCCTTCCCTATAGATTTATATGCTTTCCATGTCATTCTACTTTGATCCATTCTCTCTAAATGACCAAACCACCTCAACAACCCCTCTTCTGCCCTCTAACTAATGCTTTTATTAACTCCACACCTTCTCCTAATTTCCACACTCCGAATTTTCTGCATAATATTTACACCACACATTGCCTTAGACAGGACATCTCCACTGCCTCCAACCGTCTCCTCGCTGCTGCATTTACCACCCAAGCTTCACATCCATATAAGAGTGTTGGTACTACTATACTTTCATACATTCCCTTCTTTGCCTCCATAGATAACGTTTTTTGACTCCACATATACCTTAACGCACCACTCACCTTTTTTCCCTCATCAATTCTATGATTAACCTCATCCTTCATAAATCCATCCGCCGACACGTCAACTCCCAAGTATCTGAAAACATTCACTTCTTCCATACTCCTCCTCCCCAATTTGATATCCAATTTTTCTTTATCTAAATCATTTGATACCCTCATCACCTTACTCTTTTCTATGTTCACTTTCAACTTTCTACCTTTACACACATTCTCAAACTCATCCACTAACCTTTGCAATTTTTCTTTAGAATCTCCCATAAGCACAGTATCATCAGCAAAAAGTAACTGTGTCAATTCCCATTTCGAATTTGATTCCCCATAATTTAATCCTACCCCTCTCCCGAACACCCTAGCATTTACTTCTTTTACAACCCATCTATAAATATATTAAACAACCATGGTGACATTACACATCCCTGTCTAAGACTTACTTTTACCGGGAAGTATTCACCCTCTCTTCTACACACCCTAACCTGAGCCTCACTATCCTCATAAAAGCTCTTTACAGCATTTAGTAACTTACCACCTATTCCATAAACTTGCAACATCTGCCACATTGCTCCTCTATCCACTCTATCATATGCCTTTTCTAAATCCATAAATGCAATAAAAACTTCCCTACCTTTATCTAAATACTGTTCACATATATGCTTCAATGTAAACACTTGATCTACACATTCCCTACCCACTCTGAAGCCTCCTTGCTCATCCGCAATTCTACGTTCTGTCTTACCTCTAATTCTTTCAATTATAACCCTACCGTATATTTTTCCTGGTATACTCGGTAAACTTATTCCTCTATAATTTTTACAATCTCTTTTGTCCCCTTTCCCTTTATATAAAGGGACTATACATGCTCTCTGCACACACTCTTGGTCATCCTAATTTGATATGCAGTATTCTCTCTAAATGCCCAAACTATCTCAAAGCCCCCTCCTCCACCATCTGAATAGTCTCGTAACTTCCTAGCTCTGAGTTCTTTGCATAATATTCACACACTGCTGTCAAACATGGTATCTCCACTACCTCCAGCCTCCTCCTCACTGTAATGCTTCAAGCCCATGACACAGCCATATAAAAGGTTGGGTACCACTTTCTTGTCCTCAAGCAAACTTCTTTCTTAAGATACTCCAACTACCCTGTTTCCCTTCATCTGCACGTGCACTTCGAAATATCTAAACACATTTACTTCCTCCATACTCCCTTCTAATCTAATCTCAAAGTTTCCTTATCTAAACATTTTGGTACTTTCATAACCTTGCTCTTCTTCATGCTATTAATTTCCTCTTTTTACACAACTTTCCTAAATTCTCCAGTAGCCTTTGGAACTTCTACCACAAGAACTGGCAAAGGTTAACAGCACCCACTTCATATCAGTCATTATCCTTTAATCCCACAATTCAACACTTTAGCCTTCACTTCTTTTGCAACTCACTGATAAATATATTAAGCAACAATAGTGACATTACATATCCCAGTCTAAGGCATTATGAGAGGTTTTATTGTATTCTATATTGAAATAGGTTCCCCAGTTTTTTGTCCTTGAGTATCTACAGTAATACAGAAATTGCTATTTAAAACTAAAAAGCTTTATAAATCAGTTTCTATATATATTTCCATAACTGTTACCTGTTGTAATCCAGACTCCAGCAAGTGTGTTGGCATATACTTCGTTACATTCTATAAGTCCTTGACCCTTTTCATGTACGTATATTCCTCCATGCTGACCATCATGAATCTTATTGTGCCGCACTATGGGATCACTGTTGGTGCGGATCTGGATACCAGCTAATGCATTACCTATGCAAATTTTCAGAAATTATTTTTATGAAACTTCATTTCATATCTGCATATCTACAAAACACATGGCTACTACAGAAGGATTCTAATCAACTTTTTCCAGGGAACTGGGGAAAATTAGAAAACTGAAGAATAGGATATTAAGAGTATAATAAATTTAAGCAGACAGTAACAAGATTTACATGTGAATGTTGATGAGAGTATAGAAAAAATAACAATTTTGTTCATTCAAAACTGATACAGGATTTGTTTTATCACTAACAGGACAGCTGTATGAATTTTCTTGGGATTTAAAACTCTCGTTATATTACACTCCATACACAAATAACTTACCATATATATTGTTGTGTTCTATAAGTCCTCTGCCATCTCCAAATATATAAACACCACCTTGAAGACCATTGTAAATTTCATTCCGTCTAATAGTTGGATTGCTGTTTGAGGTTATCCACACTCCAGCATATTTGTTGGAGTGAATTTTATTTTCTATGAACTGACCCATTCCATGCTCATGTACATATATACCTCCTGTTTGGCCATTGTGTATTTCACACCGTACAACCGTTGGGTTAGCCTGAGCCTTGACTTCAAAGCCAGCAATACGATTATTATGGATGTCATTTGCCTCAAAGTAGCCCTGTAAAATAAATTGTGTGCATAAAGTATAATTAAAAAGTTTAAAAAGATAAGAAAAGAAAAGAAAAAGCAGCCTTTTGTCAGTAAGGTATAAAATTCTAAAGCAACAGCGTATATTTTACTATACATTCCCAGTGCACACTTTCTTTTTTTTAAATAAAATATTTAACAACATTGAGGCAAGCACTGACTCTTGAAGGGCTTCCCATTATTGACAGCATAATAGGAAGACATTTTTCCTCCTCTATCACTGCTTCCATTTTCTTTGCAGTTTCACCGACTGAAATATATTTTGTAATATATTTTGTAATTTCCAAAATTATTTCTGAAGAGGGAATTTTTCTAATGTCCAAGTACATGCGATTTCCCCATTCATTTTGTACATAATCTTTAACCATTATATCTCTAAGTGTATAATGTACATGATATCTTAAGTCTAAAGCTAATCCAGAGTGGGATACAATATTCTATGGATTCCTTCAAAAACCATTGTGATCCCTCAACTTCTCACTTCTGAATGTACGTTAATTTCTTAAAATTCACATCAGGTTATTTTAATGCATCCTTGACAAGACACTTACTATCTTATTGCATAAAAAGCTTTGCTTATGTACTCAAAAGAGTACACAAATATTTTTATTAGTCCATAGACAAAAAATTAGAATAATTATAAATATAAGCACTCACTAGTCCTCCATCAAAACAAAATATTCCCACATCTTTCCCATGGTGAATGTGATTGCGCCGCATGATGGGGTTTGCATAGTTCTTGACCCATATTCCAGCCAGGGCATTGCGACTGATCTCATTATCCTCATAATGGCCTTGTGCCCGGTCAGTAATAATGAGGCCCACATTCTCACAATCACTTATTTCACAATGACGAATTACTGGTTCTGCACCTGGACCACTCACGCTAACTGCTGCTCCCACTGAAAATAAAAAAGTAAAAGTTTTATGAGTGCAAAGATTATTCTTTTACACAATAAAAATATATTTTTTTTTATTTTTATTATCACACCGGCCGATTCCCACCAAGGCAGGGTGGCCCGAAAAAGAAAAACTTCACCATCATTCACTCCATCACTGTCTTGCCAGAAGGGTGCAACCTTAACAAAACTGATGAAAGAAACAAATTAGCCTATCTGATATCTTTATATACTCGGGTTTCAAGTGTCTAAAAATTCTGTTTGTGGTATACCACTGTCAAAATAAGCTACACTCAAATTTCAGAATTTCAAGACTCGAGTACAGGTCCGTAGTCTCTCTCTCTCTCTCTCTCTCTCTCATGATTAATAGACAAAAAAATTAGGCTACAAAAGCCTCGAGGCATATCAGCACTGTTTTGGGCTGGGCACCAAGTTTACATCAGTGATAAGTATCTTGGGCTGCACCAAACCATTTCATTCTAGCTAAGTCAGTCATGTTATGACACCAATAGCTAAGCCTAGACAACCTTTAACAGCAGAAAGTATATCATTTTCCCAAAAAATTTATTTATGAGCAAGACACATGGGCAACAAATGGGTATCTTTATTGTTGACAACAATAAAGATACCTAACTGTTGCACACGAGTAACTCATCAACTTGTCAGTATGTTACACTATTTTCAACAAGATTTATTTATATTTGGTTCCTTCATCATGCATTAAATGATACAGAAAAAATTACAAATAATTAAATGCTATAGCTTCTACCAAAATGTCCTACTAATTTTAAAGAGGGTTTTCATAAATCATCACTATTTGGAATCAAATCTCTCAGGGTATATATCTTCTTCTTTCAACACACCAGCCATATCCCTCCAAGGCGAGGTGGCCCAAAAGGGAAAACTAAAGTTTCTCCCTTTACATTTAGTAATATATACAAGAGAAGGGGTTACTCGCCCCTTGCTCCTGGCATTTTAGTTGCCTCTTACGACACGCATGGCTTACAGAGGAAGAATTCTGTTGCACTTCCTCATGTAAAAAAGAAGAAATAAACAAGAACAAGAACTAGTAAGAAAAACAGAAGAAAACCCAGAAGGGTGTGTGTATATATATGGTTGTACATGCATGTGTAGTGTGACCTAAATGTAAGGAGAAGTAGCAAGACGTACCTGAAATCTTGCATGTTTATGAGACAGAAAAGACACCATCAATGCTACCATCACGTAAAACAATTACAGGCTGTCGTTTTACACTCACTTGGTAGGACGGTAGTACCTCCCTGGGTGGTTGCTGTTTACCAACCTACTACCATGGGGTATATATGTATCTTCTTCTTTCAATGTACCAGCTGTATCCCACTGAGGTGGGGTGGCCCAAAAGGAAAAATGAAAGTTTCTCCTTTTAAATTTAGTAATATATACAGAAGAAGGGGTTACTAGCCCCTTGCTCACGGCATTTTAGTTGCCTCTTACGAAACGCATGGCTTACAGAGGAAGAATTCTATTGCACTTCCTCATGGAGATAAGAGGAAATAAACAAGAACTAGTAAGAAAAACAGAAGAAAATCCAGAAGGGTGTGTATATATATGCTTGTACAGGAAGGCCCCGCTTTACGGCGTTTCACTTTACGGCGTTCCGCTAATACGGACATTTCAAATTATGACCAAAACTCACTATACGGCTCCCCCCACCTGACTTTCTAATACGGTCACCGTGCCCCACCCTGTTTGTTTACATTCTCCATGAGCTCAGTAAGCACTAAGTCTCTCCATTTTGTCTGGAAACTCCAAAATTTCAAATGTTTTTAAAAGTTATTTCATATTTTATATATACTCTGATAATTATACTTATGTATACCTGTACCTAAATAAACTTACATACATCGAGTCATTTAAATGTCGTATATTACGTTAATATACACATTTTCATTAATCCATCCATGATATTTTTTTCAAAATTATATAATAAACACGATGCATAACATATAAATAAGATAAATACACCCCACAGTAGAATAAATAAACATAAATGTGAGATGTGAGCAGACGACTTCCACAAGTGACGCCATAATAACAATACTCACCGAGTCTCATTAAATGTCGTATATTACGGTAATATACACATTTTCATTAATCCATCCATGATATTTTTTTCAAAATTATATAATAAACACGATGCATAACATATAAATAAGATAAATACACCCCACAGTAGAATAAATAAACATAAATGTGAGATGTGAGCAGACGACTTCCACAAGTGACGCCATAATAACAATACTCACCGAGTCTCATTAAATGTCGTATATTACGGTAATATACACATTTTCATTAATCCATCCATGATATTTTTTTCAAAATTATATAATAAACACGATGCATAACATATAAATAAGATAAATACACCCCACAGTAGAATAAATAAACATAAATGTGAGATGTGAGCAGACGACTTCCACAAGTGACGCCATAATAACAATAGTCACCGAGTCTCATTAAATGTCGTATATTACGGTAATATACACATTTTCATTAATCCAGCCATGATATTTTTTTTCAAAATTATATAATAAACACGATACATAACATAAAAAGATGATAAATTTCACCCCACAATAGAATAAATAAACATAAATATAAGATGTGGGAGCCTGGTTTGTTTACATAACTCTGCTTCTGTTACCTCATGAACTCATTCTTTCTCTCTCTCATTTATTCGTTTTATCTCATTTACTTACTCCTGACCCTACATTAAGACTACAAATATTTTAAGGTAAGTAATGAGTGAACTGTATATACATTTTATCGCTCTGGGATGCTTAAATATCATAGAATAGTATGTGTGGGTGGGGTGGCCTGGTAAGGTAGCCTGGCTTATTACAATACATACCACACTTGATTTCTTACAATAAATACTACTTGTCTCACCCTAGATTAAGACTATAAATATTTTAAGGTAAGTAATGAGTGCACTATGTGTGTATTGTACTTTTTTATTGTTTTTTGATGCCTGGTTCTATTGCTAACTTAATATATGTTAGTGTAAACTTGTTATCTAGTGTTTGTATGCATTTTTAAGTGGAAAAAAAGGGTGTTCCACTTTACGGCGGTTTCCGCTTTACGGCGGTAGCCTGGAACCTAACCCGCCATATAAGTGGGGCCTTCCTGTACATACATGTGTAGTGTGACCTAAATGTAAGAAGTAGTAAGACGTACCTGAAATCTTGCATGTTTATGAGACAGAGAAAAGACACTACCAATGCTGCCATCACGTAAAACAATTACAGGCTGTCATTTTACACTCACTTGGTAGGACGGTAGTACCTCCCTGGGTGGATGCTGTTTACCAACCTACTACCAAGGGGTATATATGTATCTTCTTTTTCTTCTTTCAACAAACCGGCCGTATCCCACCGAGGCAGGGTGGCCCAAAAAGAAAAACGAAAGTTTCTCTTTTTAAATTTAGCAATTTATACAGGAGAAGGGGTTACTAGCCCCTACTCCTGGCATTTTAGTCGCCTCTTACAACACGCATAGCGTACGGAGGAAGAATTCTGTTCCACTTCCCCATGGAAACGAGGAAATAAACAAGAACGAGTACTAGTAAGAAAATAGAAGAAAACCCAGAGAGGTGTGTATATATATGCTTGTACATGTATGTGTAATGTGACCTAAGTGTAAGTAGAAGTAGCAAGACGTACCTGAAACCTTGCATGTTTATGAGACGGAAAAATGGACACCAGCAATCCTACCATCATGTAAAACAATTACAGGCTTTCATTTTACACTCACTTGGCAGGACGGTAGAACCTCCCTGGGCGGTTGATGTCGAACCTACTACCAAAGGGTATATATGTATATATATACATATATTTTTTTTTTTCAAAAAAGTTGCCTGTCTCACACTGCTCACACTCCAACAGCTCGTCAGGTCTCAAAAACCATTCGTCTCCATTCACTCCTATCTAACACACTCACGTATGCTTGCTGGAAGTCCAAGCCCATCGCCCACAAAACTTCCTTTACCCCCTCCCTCCAACCTTTTCAAGAACGACCCATACCCTGCCTTCCTTCCCCTACAGGTTTATGCGCTCTCCATGTCATTCAATTTTGATCCATTCTCTCGGAATAACCAAACCACCTCAACAAGTGTATAAATCTGTAGGGGAAGAAAGGCGGGGTAGGGGTCGTCCTCGAAAAGGTTGGAAGGAGGGGGGTAAAGAAGGTTTTGTGGGCGAGGGGCTTGGACTTCCAGGAAGCATGCGTGAGCGTGTTAGATAAGAGTGAATGGAGATGAATGGTATTTGGGACCTGACGAGCTGTTGAAGTATGAGCAAGGTAATATTTAGTGAAGGGATTCTGGAAAACTGGATATTTTTATATAGCTGGACTTGAGTACTGGAAATGGGAGGTACAGTGCCTGCACTTTAAAGGAGGGGTTTGGGATACTGACAGTTTGGAGGGATGTGTTGTGTATCTTTATACATATATGCTTCTAAACTGTTGTGTTCTGGGCACCTCTGCAAAAACAGTGATTATGTATGAGTGAGGTGAAAGTGTAGAATGATGATGAAAGTATTTTCTTTTTGGGGATTTTCTTTCTTTTTGGGTCACCCTACCTCGGTGGGAGAAGGCCGGTTTGTTGAAAAAAAAAATATATATATACACACACACACACACACCCTCTGGGTTTTCTTCTATTTTCTTACTAGTTCTTGTTTATGTCCTCTTATCTCCATGGGGAAGTGGAACAGAATTCTTCCTTGTTAAGTTGTGTGTTGTAAGAAAGGACTAAAATACCAGGAGCAAGGGGCTAGTAACCCTTTCTCCTGTATACCTTACTAAATTTAAAAAGGGAAACTTTCATGCTTCTTTTTAGGTCACCCTGCCTTGGTGGGATATGGCCGGTTTGTTAAAAAACTTATAGCACATTTTGAATTGTCTTTCTTTGCACCGTACATCAAACACTGGTGAAATTATTCAATCATAACAGACCCTCAGAGAATTGTTATTACATTCATGTGGAATAGAGGGAACACTAAACCCATAAGGAAGGTACCGTGCCTGGAGGAGTGGGGAGGTACTCAGTTTCAATCCAAGGAAGAGGATGGTATGTCAATCTTAAGAACTAACCATCTAATAAATTCAGCCAAAAAATATTCTAAAACACAAGCAGTAAAATATGCCAATCTTTATAGTTAAAATAATGTACTATGCTAATGTATCTAAAGAAAATGAACATGTATCAATGGGCTATGTGAATTATACCCTCCTTCCACTATACTATGTATATGATCCAGAAATTATAAGACCTTAAACACTTGTAATAAAATATAAGAAAAAATTCTACCATTATATAAATAAATGGTGTAAATCCCATCTACAACTAAAAAATTTACACACAACAAACAACAAACGTAAAAGTAGCTGGATGCAAAAACTAAACCAGAAAAATTCTTCATGCTGTTACACAGTACATATTAATGGCTCTAGGATCATCATTCCATTGACCTGATCTTTAGATGACACTTCTTTAATTGTTAAAGGAAAATTAGAGTAATGAAAAATGTTAAACACAGGAAAGAAAGGATATGTTTTTTAATAAATTTAGGGAGTTGAGAAGATTCACCTGTCATCTTACATGCTCACAAGGAAAAAGAAATGACCAATCCTGACAGAATACAAAATGCTTAACAGGCTTCTGCCTTTTACTTGTATAACAAGATGGTCACTTTTTATCAACCTACTACACGGAATTGCATGCCCTGTCTGTTCCCCAGGAGTATTTTATGTCATTATAATAGTCCCCCTTTTTTCTTATTCCTTCAATAATGCAAGGCCTAATTCTTATAGTCTTCCCTCATAGGTAATGTGCATCAACTCTGACAATAGGCTTAATGCACTCCTTTGTACTTCTAAGTTTCACAAGGTGAAGGTTCCAGTGCTGCTTACTCAAGAATGGGTCACACATACAAGGTAAAGCCAATATTAAATGAACCTCTATCTAGGTTCTTGAGTGCCACTCTAATTTTAGCAAGTTTAACTTGTGCTGCTGCTGATGGCTCATGTACTTTTGGAAACAGGTTTGGTAATAAGTTATGCCCAAATTTTTTTTTTTAATTTTTAGCCATTTTGCAGAGACCCCCTTCCTCAAGTGGTAATATTGTGTTACTCAAATTTAATAGTGTATATTGAACCAAGATTAAACTATCGTTGCAAACTTGACCAATAAAAAAATGCTGAATATCAACAAATAATAAATGTTTGTTTGCACATTTTTTATAGCACTATTAAGAAAACTAACCACTGATGAAAACTGGGCAGTAAACATTCATCTACTGCAACCCATAAAGGGTTATAGTTGAGTAGCTTGATACAAACCAATTATACCCAGGTTAATGCTTTTCTATCCATCAAACTGCAATACAGAAATAGGACAAATCTTTTTTAACAGTGAAATCTAAAATTCGGTTTGAGTCCTAATTAACACAAAAAGCAATGGCTATTTTCTATACACCTACACATTTTTTCTAGAGGTCTACGCACTTTATATCATAAGTACATGTATTACATGAAGAAAAATCTGATGTTATAAAAGCAAACACTGAGTACTTACAATGAGAAATACTGCGAATAATGCAGTGCTCTATAGTGGGTGCACAATTCTCTTGGATTTCCAGTGCATAGTGCTTGTGATGCTGCATAGTTTCTGTACAACTAGGAGGAGAAAATTTTATTGTGACATAACCCAAATATGCCTGCTGTGCTCCTTCCATGAACATAACGGTGGATTCACATTCTCTTTCTAAAATTACGTTCTCTGCCACATTGCCTGCAAAACAAAATAAAAAAAAAAAAAAAACAAGAAATTACAAGGCCTACTGAAAATGTAGTTAATACTGAACATTAAAGTAAGATGGGTTTAACAGCAAATCTATTGCAGACGAGTAACAAAGAACCAAATTCCCAGCTCAACAAAGGTACCAAATTGAGCAATTTTCTTAAAGGATAACTCTCACGGCAACTCAAGAGTGGAACTTTTTGTTGGTTACTGTCTGAATGAGCTTATGTTTTCTGGCAAATTATTTTCATTACACTAGCAAAATTAAGAGTCCCAAGTGTAATGTAAGCAGTATGCCATTAAAAGAAAAAAAATGTGCAAGATAAAATAAAAAGCTCCAAAGCTTAAAAAAATAAATAAAAAAATGCTGAAAAAAAACTGAACATCCCACTGCCCAATATTGTAGAGATTAAATAAACCCATGTAAAATCACAAACTGATAAAGAACACTAGTACCCTAAGAAAAAAATGGGCTAAAACTTTAAATTGAATAAAAAAAAGCAATATCAAAAGGACACTGAAATGTATTTTTCACAAACAGTGTTGGACTACTGGATAGGAATTATTGATTAAAGGGAGAAAATGCTCTAACCACTAGAATATTAAAGAAATTATGACTGATGAGAAACCAGTACAATTTTCTTTCTTAATACATGCACTATGTGAGCAACTGAGATAGGAATGACAGCATTACATGATTATATCTCTACAAAATCTAACAAAACAGTATTATAATAGTTACAGAAAAAGCTACAATTCTACAGTTAGGCCAGACTTTTCATAGTTTATGTTCTATATGTCCACCAAAGTTAAAATTGTACAGTATTCCTAATTTACAATAAAATTAAAACTGAAAAATTCTATTTTTTTTTAATCGTCCCTGACAAGTACTTTCCTGGTTACAGATGTTTCCTTTGATATCTGGAAGTGTTTACCTCTTGATTAATCTTGTTACTTAATCTATTTACCTCAGGATTCTTCTTTCAACAAACCGGCTGTATCCCGCCAAGGCGGGGTGGTCCAAAAGGAAAAATGGAAGTTTCTCCTTTAGTAATATATACAGGAGAAGGAGTTACTAGCTCACGGCTAGTAACCCCTTACAGAGGAAGAATTCTGTTCCACTTCCCCATGGAGATTTGAAATATCTTTCTAATTTTTTCCTGCTTCATTAAAGAAAGGTTGTAATGAGGACATGATTTAATCCTATTTTTAAAATGCTAATGCTGCTATTTCCTGAAATAACCCTCTGAACCATTATACAAAAATACCAAAATTAGTTCAGTCTAGCTAGCCTGCCTCGTGGCACATACCAGGCAGCACATCATCAGGTCAGGTGATTGGGGGGGGGGGGGCAAATAAAAAAAATTGTGCCTTGAAGACATCTCTCTGTGATGAAGACAGTGTGACATAGGCAGTCAAGGTAAAATTATGATTGGCCAAGAGAAAGGGGTAGGCCAGACAATCTTATAGGAATAGAAGTCTGGGGAGATTATAAAAGGCAGTACAAATGCACTTGTCCTCATTCTATAGACAGCTTATCCAAGACACACTGTTTCATTCTAACAGGATCAGATCCCATTTCTGTCACTCAGTTCATTCAATTTCAGGTGGAGACTTGGAACAATGAACTCCATGTATGTAATCTCAAGTCATTTCTCTAAGTGTTTCATCCTTAAGCCCTTTTCCTATGGAAGTGTTTAATAAGACTAATTATGTGCTCAGTCCCTCCCATGTGTAGAGTACAACTATTTAAACTAGTGGAGTATGAGTAAATGACTAACCCAGGAGAAATAACAGTGGAGTCAGAATATATTTGTTAATGTACAGAGCCCAATATCTCCAATGTGTGTGTCAGACAGAACACACTTGCTGAACAAGACACATGACACAAGTGGTAGCAGAGCTGGGTCCTAACTCAAGTGACATGATCGATGATCAAGTGCTATGTTAAATGTCACTGATGGTGACTAAACAAAGGGAAAATGCCTGCAAGTATTGCTAGAATTTAGTAATATGACACTAGAGAGTGCAAGAAGTCTGCCACTGGAGTGGTAATATCACAAGGCATTTTTTTGCTCATCAAAAAGTTTTAAGTAGCTAAAAATAAAACCTCTAATAAAATTTGGCCATATCTTTTTTTTCCTAATACTATTTTTAAATGTTTATACTTCATTATTATTACTATTATTATTATTTTTTTTTTTTCAACAAGTCGGCCGTCTCCCACCGAGGCAGGGTGACCCAAAAAAGAAAGAAAATCCCCAAAAAGAAAATACTTTCATCATCATTCAACACTTTCACCACACTCGCACATTATCACTGTTTTTGCAGAGGTGCTCAGAATACAACAGTCTAGAAGCATACACATATAAAGATACACAACATATCCCTCCAAACTGCCAATATCCCAAACCCCTCCTTTAAAGTGCAGGCATTGTACTTCCCATTTCCAGGACTCAAGTCCGACTATATGAAAATAACCGGTTTCCCTGAATCCCTTTACTAAATATTACCCTGCTCACACTCCAACAGATCGTCAGGTCCCAAGTACCATTCGTCTCCATTCACTCCTATCTAACACGCTCACGCACGCTTGCTGGAAGTCCAAGCCCCTTGCTTTCAAAACGTGTTTCCAAGTCAAATGTGACATTTTAATTTTATGTGTATTTTCATTCCCATCTGCCAAACTGAAATCAGAAAAAATTAGCCTTTAAGATGTAATATATTTATAAAGTCTGGCTTTACATGGTTGCACTGCAACAAAGATTAGTCATGTTAGCAACAATTGAAAGGTGAAAAAGTGAATGTGCAACTTACCAGGTGCAGCTCCAATAAGAGCAATGTTGGTCTCGATAACAATAAGTTGTCCCCGGTAGACACCGGAATGAATTAAAACAAGAGGTTTCTCTGCATCATCACAGTATTCAAAGGCAGCCTGTATAGTTTCAAAATATGCAACAGATCGACCAGTCTCCTGTAAATTAAATGTATATTTAATACAAATATACTGTACTACACATTTTTTTACTTTATACATATAATTTATGTTAAAAATACGCAAATGAATTAAAAAATAAAAATTATGGATCTATTCACAAAAATTTAACTATTGTTAGTGCAAGTAAAAAAAAAAAAAAACAATCCTGCCAAATCGCCTCAAAATGCAACTGATGACGAACTGCTATTTTCATCAAGTATCTCATCAACCAATATTATGAAAGAAACTTACCTTTGTTGCATATTTTTGATGTCCTTCTCTAACATGTACCCCATGATATAACTGCTTGAAACTTTCTTTCCAAGGGTTATCGCAGTCACAGTCTTCAGGTTGTACAAAGTCAAATTTGCATGAAGAGGGGTTGAATAATGGTAGATCATACTCGTAAAGACCTTGATAAAGATTTTTCCTGTAGAATGAAGCAAAAACATTCTTGAAGTGAATACAATGTGTAAAGTAATAAAATGTAGAGCACAGACGAACATGCAGGAAACGTCATAATGGTATTACACGTGATATGATAACCTGCACAAATTTCAATGAAAGGGTCAAAATTAATGTTATCTGACTTACCAAAGCTCATTGTCATTGGCTATCGTGTAGAAGCGTTTACAGACTTGTGCTACATGACAAAGATCTCTCTCAAACAGGTAGGAAAAAATAGTGAGTAGCACCTCATCAGGAAGTTCATACAAGAGGTAATGTGCTGCAGTAAATGGGTTGCACCCAAGCCCTGAAAATACACATGTTATGGGATAAGAGTTTATTGACAAAATATGAAGAACCACAATACAGAGCTACAAAGATCAGTGTTTAGTGGAGTCAGACTGCTGTATGAACTTCAGTATTTGCCATAATAAAATATTCAGAAAAAATGAAAGGCTTTCAGAATACTGAAAAACAAGTCTAGTGCTCCATACACAGTAAGAAAAATTGGTATGACATCAAGAAATAATTTTAAAATATAAAAAACTAAAACAGCAAATATGAAAGGTAAATTTTAATTTAATTTTTTTAACACTGCCCATTTCACATTTAGGTACGATGAATCAGACATGATAAATCTCTCTCACTCAATAGCTGCTATGTGAGAGGTGCATGGATATCATAATTTAAATGACCTGTTATATTCATGTACAGGCATTATGCATCCCACTCCCATAAATAGTCCAACTAACCAGATTCCCTTACGTCACCTTTCTCACACAGTGGCAACATATCTTGTCAAAAAAAAACATGTCTCCAATCTGATTTAATACTCTCACATGCCTGCTGGATAGGCATGCCCCTACCACTGAAAACCTCCACACACTTCCTGTGATGTCCCTACATCCCCTACCATTCAATGGATATATATAAATTCTCTTTGACAACATATCCTTCTCCAGTCTTTTCAAATAACCAAACATTTCTTCCTCCACTGTGAATTATACCTTTGTAAAGTAAAAGGACACAAGTGCAACTAATGTGACATTTTATTGTGGCAACGTTTCGCTCTCCTGGAGAGCGAAACATTGCCACAATAAAATGTCACATTAGTTGCACTTGTGTCCTTTTACTTTACATATTGTCGGTAATTCTACCAACTTTATTACAATTATACCTTTCATATCACCACATTTTAGGGTTTGTATTTGTTAAATGGAAATTTAACTTTAAAACCTTTATTAAAAAATTATGGTTACCTATACATGCCCTAAAATTTTCCTGCATTGTATACTTAAATTCTCAAAATAATCAAATTATTTGCTTTTCGTAATTGCATTTAGTTTTTGAGCTAAATTAAAATCAATCACAGAGAGCAAATAACTTGCCTGTGGAAGAATCCCCTGTAAAATATGTTCTCCGAGGGCGCTTGCGGGCAGGTAGCATGGAAGGGCAGTACGTAGTTGCAGCAGCAATAGCAGCAGTGGGTGAGAGCAATGGTGCAGAGTTTGTGGCAGCAGACGGAAGTCCAGCTGTTGCGGCTGAGACTCCCGCTGGTGATGCTGTAGTAGGAGAGGCTGTTACTGATGCTGTTGCTGCTGCTGCTCCTATGGTGGAAGGTGGGCTAACTGGATGTGTAGGGGACTTGCGACGTAGGTGATATGGAGGATGGTGATGTGTGGAAGTGCCAACAAGAGCAGAGGAGGGGCCTGCTTCACCAGCAGCAGCTGCTCCTCCAGCCACCAGCCCTAAAAGAGCCAGAGCTGATCCAGGAACTATAGGGACTTCACAATCATCCTCTGAAAATAAAAATGCATAAGCAATTAATAAAATGTTTTCATTACCTATCTGTAGTTAAAAGGGTAGGTTGATTTTTTTCTAGTTCCCATGGCTGTAGCATGCACTACAGGACCTCCCTGGGTAACTTATGACAGTACGTACTACACTTTTCTCTTGATGAATTCAACTATGTCTGTTGAATTCCATCTTTCATTTGTCACTTCACTTGCTCAATTTACAGTATTGCATGAAGGACATTTATTTACAAAGCAAACTTTAAAACTAATAAAATAAAATTTGGCTTTAAAGTGTGCAATATACATTAGCAAGAAACATGGAATTTTGTGTTCAATGTGTTCAACGAGTATGAATTTTTATAAATATTTCATCAGGGTGACTATTCTCCATTGGTCCAAGGTATTTCAAATACAGTTAGTGTTATGAAATTAGTGTTAATTGAATAACATCACCAAGATGCTTCCTTTAATAATTCTATTTCTTACTGATCACAAAAATATTGTGGAAACTACATATAAATAATAATTTTGCCTTGACATTTCAAAACTTACTGAATACCTATACCATGTCTATATTTTTCATATGCACTACCTGTAAAAAGAAAAGTTAAGACATATGTGCAACATCTAAATATCTTTATTGTAGACATTTTGCCATCCAGTGGTTTTATCAATACAGATTCTAGGACATAATTAGAAGACAGTAAGACTATATACAAAAGATGAGGTAATCAGTCCCTGAGCCTTGGAGCTAGTGTTCATAGCTACAATAGTGTTCACGTCTACAATAAAGATATCCAGATGTTGCACATGTGTCATAACTTTCATATTGTCGGTATTTTATACCCTTCTTGCACAAAAAGAAAAGAATTCATGTCAAGGGCGGAATTTGTGGAGGTCATTCAATATGAGTGGTCAAGGATTAATCTTTCCTTTGCTAACCTCAAAACAGACTATATGTACATAACCACTTGCTTAATTGGCTTTATAGATTCTAGTTTCATTTTGTTAGCTATTCTGTATTTTGGAGGGCACCACTATTTAGTGTTACTGTGAATGGGGTTATGTTACTTCTAGTTATGTATTGGTGTCAGTCACTGAAGAAATGACTGGATAATGTATGAATGACCTCTTAAGATTAGACTGATGTAAAAGTGGAAATGATTAGGCAAGACTTGCCTTTCATGGACTTGTAGGCCTACTGCAGTGTTCTTTATAAATAAGGCAATCTGATGAGTAAAACTAATACAGCCTCGCCTCACTTAACGACGGAGTTCCATTCCTAAGACCATGTCAGTAAATGAATTCGTCGCTAAGCGAGGAGCATACTATAATGGTAGTGGGTTTGTGTCAACTATCTTTGATATTGTTTTAATGTTACCTTTGCACCATTTATAACATTTCTGGTATATTTTTAAATGTTTACACAGTAGTGTACTGTATATTGTAATGAACAGAAGAAATCAGCTCTAATATACATTATTTAGGCATGTATACTGGCGAATCAGCATGAATGAATGGCATGTATACTGGCCAGAGAGCCCGTTGTAAGTCCAAGACATTGGTAAACGAGTACATCACTAAGTGAGGAGAGGCTGTACTGAATATTAATTGCAAACAAAAAATCCTATGACAAATTAAACACTAACAATGAGAAACCATGAGCATTACTACTTCTGCAGCTACAAAGAAGAAATACACACTAAAAGCTAACCAGTTACTGGTAACTTAAGAGTCGTAGTATTATACACACTACAACAGGCTGTAAATGTAAATTATCCTAAAGCCAAAGTGAACAAAAAAAAAAATTACCACACAAGCCTAGCAACCAAATATCTTAGTCAAAATGCCATAAAAAAAAAAAAAGTGAATAGTTTTGATCATAGACCACCAAAGACAGTAGTGAGTGACAGGTAAAGAAAGCCTGTGTAATTTCTATGCTATAACAACTACTATGGGTTGACCTGGCAATTGCTACGAGTGCACACGAGCTACAAGTACCAAGGATTAGTTCAATAATTACCCACTTCTCATGTTTAGTAGGACTGATAGGTGCAACCCTAACTATATACATGTTAAATACAGTAGTCCCCCTGTATCCACAAGTGATATGTTACAAGATCTACCATTGATACCTGGAGAGGGTTTCGAGGGTGAACACCCCCATGGCCCAGTCTGTGACCAGGCCTTGTGGTGGATCAGGGCCAGACAGAAGTGAACCCTATACTATATATATGTGATTTTTCGTTTACATACATACCCATGATAAAATTTAATTGATAACTCATACACAATAAGTCGAGAAATAGAACTTTTTCACTGTTGGGAAGCACTTCACGGCTTCTTAGGCTTTGAAGAACTGTCAGTATCACTACTTTTGCACTCTGCAAACTTTTAAAGAGTTTATGGGGACTGATAGTAACCAACTTTGGTAGGATGTAGCTGACTGGCTCTGCCCAGGAAATATTTTCTCTCTGGACACCAAGTGGTGGTCTTGACTGTCTTTGCAGTGGAGCCCTGAACCACCACCACAAACACACACTTTCTACAGACATATTATCTACATGCTATCCGGGCAAAGAAACTCTTTGATAGCTTAAGGTCCTACTCACACCTACCTAGTCCAACTTGTGTAAAAGTTTTTGTAGAAATAAAGAAAAGTACTCGCTTCAATGATGCTACCTGACAGCTTTACTCAAACAATTCTAACCAAAGTCTACCTCAACATAATTTGCTATATATCAAGCATTTAAATGTACATTATATTACAAATTGCTGTTCCACAGCCTTTAACACTTGAAAAAGTACAAGATACTTAATTTTCAACAAAATTAACACAATATATATGTAAATTATAATTAAATTCATGTAAAACACTTGAAAATAAACTGTTTACTTACTAGGGTGTATTCTAGATTATATATAACAAGAATCAATGAAGACTGAATTTGCTGACTAAATTAGCTTATAAAGTGACTCTCAGAAAGAGAATCAACGTTGATTGACCATAACATTATTTAAGACTCCCTGGCCACTCCAAAAATGATTTATTGCCTAAAATAAACTTGACAAATCACCTTCTAAAGTCACATATTGGCGTCAGGGTAAACCAACTGTTTCCTGTTGAACGCTTAAAAAATCAATGTCTCGTTCAATAACACGATTAAAACGCAGGTAAATGGTTAACAAGTGAGCAATTATTATTCTGGTCTTGACGAGCATCCCCTCGGAATGGCCAAATTAAGTATATTATGTCAAATAAATCCAGGCGATTGCTCAACGTGAATTCAATCACAACGAAAACAAATGGTCATCACAAGACCAACTCACCATTATTTCGTTGATTTAACGGGTTTCCCCTCCTCACTATTTTCTTTTTAGTAATTTTCCTTTTTCTTAATTGTGATATGCGCGTTCTAAACGTAGGGTTCGACATTTTAAGGTTAGAGGTAGCGTAAATGCTTCACAGGTTGGAGACAAAGGTCATGTCTGCCCTCACCGCACTCTACCAGCCACTGAGCCAGCCATTTTGTGCCGCCGATATTATTGTTGCAGGCGGAAGCTCAACCAGCCAATCACAGACACCCCTCAGGTCACGTGACTACCCTAGCCATTCACACTCAACCTTAGGGTCACGTGACCGTCCTCTACCGGGCCCGAACGTGCTATATCTCATTTCGCCGAATAACTTTTCCACACGATTCAAGGCTTAAGTTTAACCCTGCGCGTGCAATCTACCCAAAATAAAATAATTCTGACCGCTCTCAATCCTTCACTTCCTATATTTCATTATTGTTTACGATCCCCGACATATTGTTGGAACATAACCTTGATTACAGATATCAGATAATTTACATTTCTCCAAACATTATGAATCACCTGTTATACGCATTTTGAAGCTTACACAAACAGTATAGCCTATATTTGTAATGACATGCGCTATAATTAACGTTAAACAGAGGAGTGCTATAATAAACGCCAAATATTGATCACTTTTGACTCATAGAAAACGTCTCTTGCAGACATGTAAACAAAGGAGTGATTCAGTGGCTTACAGGGAAATAAATAATTGTTTTCTGCACCTGCGACGTGTATTTAAAATTTTCATTTAAAAATACTCATATTGGAACGAAATTTCGAAAGGAGATTTCTTAGGTGGGGCTTCAGGGGGGTGTCCGGTCTATGGTGTCAATGTTTATATGTTTTAGTGGTAAATATTTTGATGGTGTGAAGGAAGGTGGTGGTGGGCGGGGCGGGGGATCAGCTGATGAACCTTCATGGGTACTGAGCTCGGGGCTCAAACATTATGACACACTGTTAGGGGCTCAGATGTGGGCCACACATGACACATTGATGACCAGACGTGGGGCTCGGTGTGACACTGTCAAGAGTCGGCTCGTCGTGACACTTCGAGGTCAAACATGGGTTCGGTATGACACACTGGGGTCAAACATAAATTCGGCGTGACACATTATGTTGGGGTCAAACGTGGGCCCAACATGACAATCAGCTGATGAACCTTCATGGGTACTGAGCTCGAGGGCTCAAACATCATGACACACTGTTAGGGGCTCAGATGTGGGCCACACATGACACATTGATGACCAGACGTGGGGCTCGGTGTGACACTGCCAAGAGTCGGCTCGTCGTGACACTTCTTCGAGGTCAAACATGGGTTCGGTATGACACACTGGGGTCAAACATAAATTCGGCGTGACACATGTTGAGGTCAAACGTGGGCCCAACATGACACACTGTGGGTTGAATTTGGGTTCGGCATGACATCATTGCATGGGGGTCAAACTTTGGCTCAAAATGAAGTTGTCTAGGGGTTGGAACAGCATCATTGAGAAATAAGGTACCATACTGAGCTACGAAGTACCACATTAAGCTACAGGTTACCTTATTGAACATGGAGCTACAGTGCTATGGTATGGGATACCATACTAAGATACATGACTATACTGAGATGCTACCACTCAATATATGCCTCTATCATTTATGTGCCTATCAAAACCATTGAGCAGCGTTAAAATACGCAATAGTCTGTAAAATGAATTACAAATATGCTGAATGGAGGTTATCTTATCTCGTGTGGCTCCAGTGTGGAGCCCCAACTGATCAAGCAAGTTCCCAACCTTTTCAAGGTTGATAACAAGGTTTATATTTTATATTTCAACGTTGGGGGACAAGATTTATATTTTATTATTGTGCCAGCAACATTTCTTCAGCACTCATAGACAAGTCATATTAGAAAAGCAACCTGGAGTTTACCTGGAGAGAGTTCCGGGGGTCAACGCCCCCGCGGCCCGGTCTGTGACCAGGCCTCCTGGTGGATCAGAGCCTGATCAACCAGGCTGTTGCTGCTGGCTGCACGCAAACCAACGTACGAGCCACAGCCCGGCTGATCAGGAACTGACTTTAGGTGCTTGTCCAGTGCCAGCTTGAAGACTGCCAGGGGTCTGTTGGTAACCCCCCTTATGTGTGCTGGGAGGCAGTTGAACAGTCTCGGGCCCCTGACACTTATTGTATGGTCTCTTAACGTGCTAGTGACACCCTTGCTTTTCATTGGGGGGATGGTGCATCGTCTGCCAAGTCTTTTGCTTTCGTAGTGAGTGATTTTCGTGTGCAAGTTCGGTACTAGTCCCTCTAGGATTTTCCAGGTGTATATAATCATGTATCTCTCCCTCCTGCGTTCCAGGGAATACAGGTTTAGGAACCTCAAGCGCTCCCAGTAATTGAGGTGTTTTATCTCCGTTATGCGCGCCGTGAAAGTTCTCTGTACATTTTCTAGGTCGGCAATTTCACCTGCCTTGAAAGGTGCTGTTAGTGTGCAGCAATATTCCAGCCTAGATAGAACAAGTGACCTGAAGAGTGTCATCATGGGCTTGGCCTCCCTAGTTTTGAAGGTTCTCATTATCCATCCTGTCATTTTTCTAGCAGATGCGATTGATACAATGTTATGGTCCTTGAAGGTGAGATCCTCCGACATGATCACTCCCAGGTCTTTGACGTTGGTGTTTCGCTCTATTTTGTGGCCAGAATTTGTTTTGTACTCTGATGAAGTTTTAATTTCCTCATGTTTACCATATCTGAGTAATTGAAATTTCTCATCGTTGAACTTCATATTGTTTTCTGCAGCCCACTGAAAGATTCGGTTGATGTCCGCCTGGAGCTTTGCAGTGTCTGCAATGGAAGACACAGTTCCATTGCCACCATTCAGGGACATGGTTAAGCCGAAACCAATGACCTCCACAGAAGCATCACAGAACAGAACAGAGGACTCACAGGTAAGGGCCCACTAGGGGCGAGGGGCAAGTGGGGACAGGAGGAAGAAGATAGTTGGGGGAGAGGAAAACAATCTTGAGAAGGAGGAAAAGTGCTAGGACTATACCCAACTACTAATCCAGGGAAACAAAATTCAGCAGTGTCACTTGGACAACGAAATATGGATCCCAGGTTACAACCTATACAGATGTGACAGAGTGAACAGGCAAAAGGGGGGGGGGGGGTTGGCCTGTACATTGCAGAGTCACTTGTTTGCACAGAACTGCTAAATGCCTCAAATGATGTAGTGAAAGTTTTAGCAGTAAAGGTCGAGAACCAAAACCTAGTCATTGTGGTAGTCTACAAGCCTCCGGATGCAACATCCCAGCAATTCCAGGAACAGCTGCTAAAAATTGACCACTGTCTGGAAAATCTTCCAGCTCCTGCACCCAGCATCTTGCTCCTGGGGGATTTCAACTTAAGGCACCTAAAATGGAGGAATATAGCAAATAATATTGTTGCAGTAATAACACCAGGAGGCAGCTCTGATGAAAACTCACACTCACACGAGCTTTTAAATCTCTGCACAAAATTCAATTTAAACCAGCAAATAACAGAGCCTACTAGACTGGAGAATACACTAGACCTCATCTTCACTAACAACGATGATCTGATAAGAAATGTCACCATATCAAAAACAATATACTCAGATCACAACATAATTGAGTTTCAGACATGTATGCGTGGAGCCCAGACCGACATAATGAGACTAGTCACGAGGGAGCATTCACCAAATTCAACTTCAATAACAAAAACATAAAGTGGGACCAAGTAAACCAAGTCCTAACCGATATAAGCTGGGAAGATATACTAAGCAACACAGACCCCAACTTATGCCTAGAACAGATTAACTTGGTGGCACTCGATGTATGCACAAGGCTTATTCCTCTAAGAAAAAGGAGGAGTAGATGTAAAATAGAAAGAGACAGGCGCTCCCTTTACAGGCGACGGAAAAGAATAACAGAGCGACTAAAAGAGGTCAATATATCTGAAATGCGTAGGGAGACACTGGTCAGAGAAATAGCAAGCATCGAACTTAAGCTAAAGGAATCTTATAGGAGTCAGGAATCGCGGGAAGAACTAAAAGCCATAAATGAAATCGAAAGAAACCCAAAGTATTTCTTCTCCTATGCCAAATCAAAGTCGAGAACAACGTCCAGTATTGGGCCCCTACTTAAACAAGATGGGTCCTACACAGATGACAGCAAGGAAATGAGTGAGCTACTCAAGTCCCAATATGACTCAGTTTTTAGCAAGCCGCTAACCAGACTGAGAGTCGAAGATCAAAATTAATTTTTTATGAGAGAGCCACAAAACTTGGTTAACACAAGCCTATCCGATGTTATCCTGTAATATTTTACAATTAAGAATAAAACTAAGTATGCCCGAAATGCCTAGCCATGCTAAGCGTTCTAGTGGTACAATCTGTAATCACAATTTTACTACATGTAAACCAAACAATAACCAAATTTCTGTAAACTCAGCATTGTAATCCTTATAGAGAATAAACTTTGAATTGAATTGAATTGAATTGATGCCAAATGACTTCGAACAGGCGATAAATGACATGCCCATGCACTCTGCCCCAGGGCCAGACTCATGGAACTCCGTGTTCATCAAGAACTGCAAGAAGCCCCTATCACGAGCCTTTTCCATCCTATGGAGCGGGAGCATGGACACGGGGGTCGTCCCATAGTTACTAAAAACAACAGACATAGCCCCACTCCACAAAGGGGGCAGTAAAGCAACAGCAAAGAACTACAGACCGATAGCACTAACATCCCATATCATAAAAATCTTTGAAAGGGTTCTAAGAAGCAAGATCACCACCCATCTAGAAACCCATCAGTTACACAACCCAGGGCAACTTGGGTTTAGAACAGGTCGCTCCTGTCTGTCTCAACTATTGGATCACTACGACAAGGTCCTAAATGCACTAGAAGATAAAAAGAATGCAGATGTAATATATACAGACTTTGCAAAAGCCTTCGACAAGTGTGACCATGGCGTAATAGCGCACAAAATGCGTGCTAAAGGAATAACAGGAAAAGTCGGTCGATGGATCTATAATTTCCTCACTAACAGAACACAGAGAGTAGTCGTCAACAGAGTAAAGTCCGAGGCAGCTACGGTGAAAAGCTCTGTTCCACAAGGCACAGTACTCGCTCCCATCTTGTTCCTCATCCTCATATCCTACATAGACAAGGATGTC